TTGTAAAATACAGTCACATTTCAATTATTATACATTATATATGTATATAGATTATTGTCAATTTGAAATAAGTTCTTAAACAGTAAATAAAGAAGTAAAGCAAACAATTATCTCTTCTAGTTATGACCTTTGTACTCAGTTGCTGCTTGACGTAGGTCGTTAAGCCTTTAATAAATATGTATGAGGAGGATATGAAACAAAATACTTTTTTTAGGTTTTATATATACATTTAAATAACTATAAAAATCATACATTACTACACCAACACCATAGAATTCCACTATAATTTATCAAGCTTAGTAACTAAAATGTATTTTAGTCGAAAAAAAATATAAAATTTCGTGCAGAATAAAGACACATCCTACCTCCTTGAAATATTGGTTCAAAAGAAAGAAATGGCACAATGCCCAATAAAATGGCTGAGAGAGCCACTAGGGGGACATTCTGAGTTTCCGACTGGTTATTCATGTCATATATAGAAGTGTATATAACGGAGCATTTCCAAAAATGGAAAGAGGTGGGTGGGGTGCCACTGTGTTTTATTTATTACATGAACAATATCTTTGCAAATATAAAAAATAATACATTCCTACTATATATTCTAGCTTGTCAATATTGGTAATTTGAGTTTCTAATTTGTACGAAACTACAGACTTAGTATTTTGACTTCACAAACTTTCAATTTAAACCAGTGCTGCATTAAACATACCATATGACACACAAAAATCGAGGGTTTATCTGTATTTTTTAACATTTGCTTTTACATTAAGAAACTGAGTAATGCATAGTACTAAAATTTGAATTCTAATCTACAGTTTGATACCAAATTTATTGACATAAATTCACGAAATAGTAGTTCAATAAAATTTTGAATGCGAGTCAACAAACAAGATGACATGGCCATTCACCTATGACCCATCTTGAAAGGGTTAAACAAGCTTACACTTTGATGTCACATATTTAAATTACCCAAAGTAATTACATTTTAAATTATACCAATTTTATAATGTAATTCAAAAATACTGATGTAAATTACAAAATCCTTACCAAATATGACTTCCATTAGTAAACGTAGACCTGGGAGTAGGACGTTGTAGAAAATAAGAATACTAAGCTAAGATGAAAATAAAACAGTGTCAAAAGATAATAATCAGCAACTTACATGTAGGTATGTATATATGTAAGACATCCATATTTTAAAAAATTAGTAACATAAATTATGTGTGTTATAAACATCTATTCATTATGCTAAAAACAATTTTTTTTAATTAATTGCTGATACCCTGCTAAGTTTTTGAACTTTAACAAGTTTTTAATTTAAATAACCATTTATTACATTTTTTAGAAAATAGAAAAAATTTATAGTCAGAAGGTTCATTTTTTGGTCATCCATATCACTTAAAAATTGCCAAAATTCAGAATACACAGTAGTATATACTGCCTTGATGATTTAGCATATTAAATAATCTATATATATATAAATAAATAGCTTTCAAACTACTATTTTTATATGCAATTCCAAGACTACAAAAATCCTGAGAAATTCAGATTTATTACTAATACTTCAAATACAGTCATTCAATCTGTTTCCATAGTACTTAACAATATTCTAGATGTCTTATTTGAAAAAATAAAAACACAGTCTTCATATAACCAGAATAACATTCCAGTTTCGAAATATTTAAATAATTTAAATTCTTCAAAAACTGCCAGTTCTATTTTTACTTATGACTTTACTGCATTGTATACTAAAATAGACCTAAAAGATTTAATCAGAGTTTTCAATGATTTGTTTGATAATTTTATAAATAATGAAATAACTATACCCAAATTTAAATTTACTAGAATTTAATGTAAAAATATACTCTATTTCTGTATTTATAACAGTTACTTTTAACGAACAATTAAACAAGCAAACAGTGGGTATTCCAATGGGAACGAACTTCTCTTCAAATATGGCCAACCTGTATCTGTACTTTTATGGAAACTCATTTATGAAGCAGACTTTAAATCCTAAAATATACATTTACACTTTCCATAACATAGATGATTTAATATCTATAAATAATATGAATTTTTCCCCAAACTTAATATATCCAACAGAACTTACAATAGAAAGAAGTAATGGTAATAATGAGGTCCATGTTAATTATTTACATTTGGACATTACTTTTATAGAAGGTACAAGAAGAGAATTTAATTTTCCCATTCTTGGTCTACCCACACCTAATAGTGTTATTCTGCGTATCATGTTAATAGGTATTAATATATATCAACCAAAACAGTTCTTAATAGTCTGTAATAAGTATAATATTTTTATGGATAATGTTTTATTATTAAAAAATAAACTGTAAGATAATGGCTATAAAGACAGGCAATTAAAAAACACCTTACTTTATTTTTTTAATAAATACAAAAATATTTTAGAAACTAAACTATCGATTAATGAAAATATCTTATAAAAATAAATAAAAAGAGAGAGTTAGTTTACTTAAGCTTATAAGTAGCTAATAGAAATTTTTCAAGTAATTTTATTCAGTATAACCGGAATGGAAAGTAGGTGGGCTCGTCTTGGCATTCCCGTATTATACCTGAATAAATCTTCATGAGAAAGGGAGGAGGTTGAGAGTTAGAACTATACAAGACCTTTACAGGTAGGTTGTATAGAACTGTAGGTTGTATAGTTCTATTCAATATTTTATAGTTCTATTTAATATCTTTTTGCAAGGGTGGAGGTTGGGAGTTTAATTAGTAGAAACATTTCTACTTTAAGAAATTTAAGAGTAACTGTCTTCACACAACTGGCTATAGACAGTGAAAGGCAGTAGAAGCTGAAACACCGTGGGTGTAATCACTCAGCTTCATACCCATATTTGATTGACTTTTTTATGATTTTTCCATGTTGGCTGACTAGAGTTACATTGGATTTGGATTTTGTCTCATAGATAGGATATCCCCAATGCATTTGGGTGCTATTACCACAGACATTATGCGTTATGATAATAAGTTGACAACCTGGACCGATAAAGGTAATGCATATATATATATATATATATAATAGCCAAATGTATCTGTCATGCTCTTTTCTCCTGAACAGCTAATTGTAGAAAAAAAAATATGTATCTAAATGTTTATTTCAAAAGAGTACTTTACATGAAAATTATTCATTTTTTGCATTTCCTAAAATTTCATATCAATATCAATTCATCAGTCTTCACATGCACTGAATGGTCAATGTGAGAAAAAAAACATATTAAGAACAAACATTTTTCTTTTTGTGAAGGAATTTCACACAAAAAATTTAACTTCCTTCATCAACTAATTGGAAAAAGGAGCATAAATGAAAAATAAAATGTAACGAGAAGAATGTGTTTGAGTACATTTGTTGCTTTTTGGCTTATATATCTTTTTTTCATGTTAGTATGACATACATGCATGATTTTATTGTACGATGTTGAATGAATTGATTTGAATTCAATATCTCCCCTTTGACAGTTTTTATATGCTCACTTCCATAGCAGTGTTTCCTTGTGCTCAGTAAAATGACAAAGAATGGTGGCATCCAGCAGAAAAAAATCCCAGCAATTACTTAGTAAAGCTGAGCACTCTAATGTGCTGGATGCACTCATTCAATCAAAAACCAAAATTTTTTTTACCAACAATGTATTGTATTATGTTTTCTTTGCTAGAACACAAATGCAATGCAATTTTTATTATTGAAATGACACATGGAATGACAAAAAAGATGGTTGTAAATGGCCAATTAGACAATTATATTGCAAATATGCTCTGATTCAAGGGATTGGGTTGACTGCACATTTTATATTTATTCATCACTATGTTTAGGAAAATTAACATTGAACTGTTTCAACAGGCACCTGCTAGTACTCAATATTTTTAAAGATTGCTTTAAAAGTTAACACTTAGACAATTTTTCAATAACAAAATATTCTTAAAACAATAATAATATAGCACAGTTGAAAGTAATTTAATATTGGACATTTGTGATGGAATCACTCAACTGTAACACAAGATGTTGCACTTAACAAACTCATCCAACTATCTTTTACATCATTCAATCACTGTTAACAAACTATAACACCAGATAACCTTGAATAATCATAGAAATGGTCCTAATAACAATATTCCTGCTAAGTGAACACCTTCTATCACGTCCCTTTCTTTATAGTCTCACAGATCCATGCTGTTGCCCATAGTCTTATAGACTAATTGTAACATATATATACACTTCTGCATTTATAAGATTTAAGCTAGCACCTTATATATCACATGATCACTCTCTTTTGCATATGCAATTATTTGTAGTTTGCTTTCATGTAGAAAGTCCTAATAAATTAGCCAGTCAAGCTAGACAGTTACTTTAAGATGAATAAAATAGAACTCCACACAAAATTCTGAAAAGGTCTTATTTAGCAATCATACATACCCAAAACACTCCTCCATTTAAGGCACAACACTGAAGTATTCTGTATACTACATTTGGTTCATTTCTAAATAATTTCAAAAAGGAAAAATAAATAAACACATTTTAAAATGGCTTTACAAAGACATTATGATACAGATAAGATCAACTGTCACTAGTTATAAGGAGAAATATTTTCACAACCATCCACAGATCATGTTGATTGTACAAAAAAAAAAAAAGGAAACAGCTCAGAACAATTGTAAAAAAAAAGGATTAAACATAGTGGAAATGTTTTAACTCAACATCCTTGCTGTCATAATGGAAGGGTTACACCATTAGTTATAATGTTAGGTATTTTTAGTAAGAGTTTTCATTCTCAAATTTTTTGTCCAAAAGTGGTTAGATTACACACTAGTAAGTGATGGAATTGCTATAAACTATTTCCATTACTCATATACTAAAATATATGGATGAAACAAAATGCTACCTCTAGCTGCTAGTCTAATGTCAACAGTCTTACTGGTGAAACAGTACTTGCGGGAAAAGGTACAACTCTTTTTCTTTCTTTTTTAAAAATGATAAACATAGAGGTACCATGAAAACCAAAAACCAAGTTCAAAAAGGCTCACAGGAGTAATTAACTGTATCTCTTTGCAAGACAAGTTTACATGCTTATTTAATTTGAAAAAATATATATACAAATATAAGAGAGCTTTTGTAACAATATTCAAGTACAATGAACACCATTAGATTGAAAAATGTAACTTAGGAGAACATCCAATGTGGTAAGGTGTGAAAAAAAAAGATATACAAATAATAGAAAAATTAATTTTACTTATTTATTATTAGAACAAATGGAAATTGTAGTCTTTCTAATTACAGGTAACTTTGTTTTTGTATATTCAAAAGTAAAAAACAAAACAATATTCTTAAGAAAATAATTTTTTTTTTCTGATTTATAAGTTTTAATTAGAAAAAAAAGCATTATACTTACTCTTTTTTGGATCGAACCTTTCCTGACTGAACTCTTCTTCGAGCAAGAGTTGTCATTGAACTTTCAGAACTATCTTCTTCTTCTTGTACTTCTTTCACATTACACTTAGCACGCTCAAAGTGTAAAACACCTGACACTCCTAGAACAGCATCTCTCACTCCAGCTGCCACACTGATCATTATCAACTTAAAGAAAAAAACAGTGCTATGGTAAAAAAAAAATTATTCAATACACAACTTAAACAACAGAAAATACTGAGACTATAATAACAACAAGGTACATAAACTACTAGCAAAAATATTGTATAACCTATAACATTGGATTATGTGTATCTTGATTTAGTTATAAAATTAATAACTCATACTGTTTATCTGGCATAAGTAGCAAAAAAAAAGTATGAATCATGAAAAAAGATTTTAACGGTAAAATACTGTATAATGTTTTCTTTTTTGATGAAAAGATTTCATTTGTAGTATTTTTTACTTGGTAGAAATTGAGTGGAAGGACATTTATAATATCAATGAGGTACATGTTGAATGTTCTAAATTATACATTATTTTTCAACTCCACAATCTGTCTAACACATAAGGAAATTAAAAACACTTTTCAACCATTTGTTCCCTCTGTGTACTTATTTCACACTTTTTTTATTCCCTATAACTAGTATAGTGTCCATTATCCTTTACAAAAAAATTTAATAAAAACATAAAGACAATACACCTCTCACTTGTTTTGGAACATGATCCTCATGTTTTCCTCTTATATACAAAAAAAAAGTAATTTGTATTTATTTACAAAACAGTTTACATCTTAACAGTAAATTCATGAAAAAGATAGATTTTTAGCATGTTTTGATTAGCTTTTTAAAATATATTTATTGCACTATTCTATTTGAGTCTATGCTATTAATGTCAATTTAAATCAAAATATGAAGAATGCATTAAGTACATTGTTGATGCGTCTTGGTTGAAGATGTTGCCTTCAAAACATGGGACATATACCAAATTGTTCATAACTTTATCTTTATCAAAGCAATATTCATGACCAGAAAGCACAAGTTCAGGAAGTAAATGCAGTTTAAAGTATATCTAATTGTATATCTTATATGTTGTTAAGAATTAAAAAAATAAAAAAGCATGCATTTAGAACCAAAACACAAACAGATTTATCAGCTAGTTGAGGCCCATAATAGAAAATCTGTACTAATAGAATAAATGAAATATGCATTATATCTCCACAGTAGAATGTTCACCAGCATCTGATGTACATTACAAAGCAATGAAACATTTCATAACATTTGCAGATCTCTTGGGGATGATTCATTGGTACTAGGGTGGGTGTGCATTCAATGAAATGACTGTCTCTAAAAACCAAAGTTTTTTGACAGTTCTATAGAACAGCCAGTAGAACATCCTTGGCCACACCTTTATTTCTAACCCTTAGTATTGACAAAATGGTCAGTTTTTACTAGTGCAATCTTGATTTGATAGCAAGGTGCTACCATGCAAAATTCCGAGTTTGTTGCCATATTACTGGTCCCATTTTCATTATGTGTTATGTAACATGGCAAAATCTTCTCCAGCCCACTCTCTACTGTTCATAACATTTCCACCATGCCATGGAATGCTTTCTTGACAACTGGTCAAAGATTTTTCCCAAGGCTGCTTCTGCTTAGAAAACAGTTGGGTCACAGCTCTTTATCTCAGAAGCTGATCAAATTTTGTACTCATGAAAGTGATTTACCTCTAATTGTATGAACACCTGTTAAACTGAACGTTTGTGAGATATATTAGTCACACCATGATTAAAAAAAAAACTTTAATTTCCACTGTGAAGAACCAGTATTTTCTACACTGTATTGAACACCACATTTTGATGTCTAGTTTTTACAAGTGCAAACTTGCCTGTACCTTCAAAGCTTGAAATGTAAGTTATGCTAGCAAAATCAATCTGCATAGGGAGCTGGTAGCATGAATTTATACACTAAATGCCCTGAAGTTTCTATATTACTTGTATATGTTTTGTATCTAGTCCTTAAGCCCCGAATATTTTTAACTATAATATATGCATATAAAGAAAAAAAAAACTCCAATGATCAAAATCATATATTTATTGTGCTTGCACAAACAATGCTGTAACTTGGCAACAGCAAAAATTGATTTTCAATCTAACAGTTGATATATGTATATTATAATATCCTTATTCTTGGGTTTAAAACATGTAAACCACAATTAATAACATCTTCAGTGTTGAATAAACATGGGTACTTCTTCTTGTGAACTGACTGTTTAATTTAATTACTTATTCCAACTTTTTTAGCATCCATTCCCTCAGATACATTATTACATATTATTAAAATGTATACAACAATTATCAACTTCATCATACAACTTAAAGCAGTTAATATCACCGGATTACTTTATATAAATTATAATAAATAATTAAGAACAATGTTTTATATTTACACAATAAAAACGTTGTTTTTAATTATTTATTATAATTTAAAATTGCATATTTACTTTATATAAGTTGGTTATGGCAAATAAGTAAGCTAAGTTTCAGAATACAGAAATATAAGCTCAAAAATAAGGATCAGAAAAAAGAAGCAAAATTGACTGCCTCAATAACGAAGTAATAAAGCTGGTTTTAATGTAACTTTTTTTTATTTACAAACAGATAAGTACACATTACACAAAACTCTAGATTATCAATATAACTCGTGAATTATACTTATAACTAAGACTGTAATAAATATTTTGTCAGTAATTGGTCATCAGTTTATCTGACTGTTTTGTCCAAAGTTTGGAAGTGTGTGTGACACCCCTGTAGGAGCCAATGAAATTAGAGACTCCAATAACAACCGGGAGAAATGTAGAAGCTGAAAATTGAATCAACGTGCATGCTAACAATGGATCCAGCTCATCCTCAATGAAGTAAAAGGAAACAAAATGTTGAAGTTGAATTGTAAATCCATAGATTTACTCTGTCCCATCAGGGGACATAGACCTATATAGGTGAACTACAAACTCCGCTTTAGAACCCCAAACTTCGAGGAGCAGGATTATTTAAAAGTTGGAAAAATGCCTCCAGCTGGTGGTGGTAGGCGAAATCATGAAGTTCCAACAACGTGTCGGAGAAGGCCTAACTATCCCTTCATGTAACTAAGAAGTAAACCTTCCAGCATGAACCACAATTTTCCTATATGGAGAAGACAAAAAAAACTTTGCTTCCAGACCTTTTAGCCATCAATTAAGATGCAGCCTCAAATGCAACTGGGAAAATGCCCAAAACATCACACACTCAAAGAACCAACAGAAGTAAAATAAATCAAAGGTAGCTTATCTCAAAGTGGTCTTTTTTCATTTTTCATAGGTCATTTAAAGATCATAGTAAAGTAACTTGTTTTGTAAGAGCAAAGCAACTGTGGGTCATCTGGCACATCCACCCTAGAGAATCGAACCTCAGTGCTGTGAGTCATTACACTTACCACTGACCCACAGGGGGTTGAAAATACAACAGACTAAAAGAAGACACAGGAAAAAAATTAATCTAAAGTCTCTCCAAAATGTCAAGGATCACCCTCAAATGCAGCCTCAGAGACCCCTGGAGGACCACCACAGATAGAAATATATGTCTCCATCTCACTACGAATAAGATCACTGACAGTCTTAACCGAGTGACTCCCCCCCACAGCCCCCTAATATTGTGTGACAGGAATTCATACCATAATCAGCTTGCCAATCAGAGGAAAGAAATTTTTTTAATCATTATTGTTACAAAATCAACTAGATAACACGATAATGTTCAAAGTATCTCTGAATGATCGTAATACTTGGAAACCCATTAGTGACGCTTTGTCGAGGAAAAGTGATAAAGTTATCTGAATGAGGTGCTTATATACAGTACCAGGATAGAAGGCGCACTGACATAGGTGGAGAGTATCACAAGATAATTATTGCCAAAGGGTATAAAAGACTGAAGCAAGCAAGAAAAAATCAGATTAATGCTTAGATGGGCAAAGAAGAAACCCTGGTGGTCAAGTAATAGTTATAAGTGGCAGTGGCGGTAAGTATGTTTTGGAAATAAATATACCACTCATTTGGCAGCCAAATATTTGGTTATTCAACTAAAAGACTTGAATAGGTATTTCGTAGTCAGCCAACACACTATCTATTACATCTCTTGTTATAACAACAGTTCTAAAAATACAGAATCAAAGTTTAAATATAAAATTATTGGTTCAACAGCATAGGCCAATTCTTTTTATTTGTAAAACAACAACTAATATAAATTAAATTCTTCTTGTATGCAGTTTTCTATTCAGTAACATAATATGTATACAGGTGCAGTGATGAGAATGTTGTCAGTTGTTCATAAGAAAGAAAACATTTATATACACGCTACATTTATTTACCTTTACACTATCCATGGTAATTGGTTAGAATTCTTGAAGCTTGCTTCAGGACATCATTTCCTTGATTTTTAAATAAGCTGTGAAACCACACAAAAACAAACATTAGAAGACTAAAAACAGAATTAGTTTTGTTATTAAAGACAGATATTCATTTGTGGTTCCACAAATGTACAATATATTTACTTTACAATGCATATAACACTTCTTTGTGAAACACTAATACACTGCAAAAATGAAGCTGGAAATGTTAGACATAATAAAAGGTAAATCTGTGAATTCTTCAGTATTTTCCAAAAATTTATGTTATCAAACAGAAACTAAATTCTTAACGTTTCAGTTTATTTACAAATCAATTTTGACCTATCTAAGACGTGTTTTGTTAATTTAAATACTTTTTTTTAAAACAACCAAACCAGTTTTTACAAGTTTGACACCAAACAACCAGTTTTTATAAGGAAATAAAAACATATTCATCCATTACATTATTTACATAACAAATTTATCACTCTTAACTATAACATCTATAAATAATTATTACATACTACTACATATTTAAAATGGATATTTTAATATAACGATTTCTTTAACTATAATCAACAACATTAGAAGTAATAGTTGTAAAATGTTGAATTAATTTTGAATACTTTTATTAAAACATTCAAGCTACACTTCATCAATATTATTTACTTTATACAGTATGTCATACAATAATTATTAAAAATATAAACATACATATCACACAGAAAAGGGAAATATTAATATATTATTCAAGTGGAGGAAATTTCACAATATTTTGATTTATAATAAACCATGAACATTCTTGAATCCAATCTTTTTTTTTAAATCTAATTCACCATTGTGTTCAGCCCACATTTTTTCTAAAGTAATTCCTGACTTCAGTCTATTAATGAAATTATAAAATGATTTCTCTATAATTATTTTAAGCTACAGAATATGTTGATTTTCTTTCTATCTCACACCAATATAATAATATATACACTGAGTGGTCACAAGTAAACAGAAACCTACTTTTTCATCATTTAACTGATTTATGCTAACTAATTTGTGTTCACAGAGCACTATATAAATGAAAATGGTCCGCACACTAATTATCTCGTGCTACAACATGCCTAGAACTCAAGGTTCTCTCGAATTGTCAGATTTTGTTAGAGGAAGGATAGTTGGTCAAGCAGATGGTGGAATA